CTCTGGGACTGCCTATATGTTACCCACCCTATCTTGGAGCTGCCTCCCTGCTGATTGCTTCTGCGTGTATTACAATTTACAACGTTAAACTTTAAACCCCCCACTCTCCTTTCACATGGGTGTTTGTGTTTCGGCGGATTGGATCACCACTCAGCCAATCGCATTGCACTGATCACGATAAGAACATTCGCGCGCATCGCTGTCGGAAATCAGAGTGGGTGGGGCAGTCCAGGTTGAGGCGGCGCGCCAAATAAGCAGAGCGCCAGGATGTAACAGCCCATGAGGAATTGTGAACAACAAGGTCAAGCAAAGGGCCTTCCTTCAACCACACAGCTACCTGCGAGCCTCTTTTTGCTGAGGGGGAGTAGAACTGCGTGCCAAGCTTTGCCGAAGCGCCAGCGCGACCTTTTTCCTTTTCTTTTCGCTGGTGCCGCCAGCCATTTTGGTGCGGTGGAGCCCGGCCTCCGAGGAATGTGGGTTACACCTTACACGTTGTATTGCCGGCTTTAAGTTAGCCTTTGCCTCTGAAAGGTAGTGGTGGTTTCGCAGCTCTGGCAGCGGGCAGCTCAGATCCTGTGGAGGGACCCCACCCAGATGGGAAGGACTCGGATGAGACAAGTGGAGTGGCCTTACCGTCGTCATCCAAATAGAACTCCTGGTCATTAGTGCTGTATCTGGACTGAAAGTTGTCACATATACAGCTGAAATGACAGCGCGTTCCATTCGGGGCGGGGTGAAGACTGTAGTGGCGAAGGAGGGTGTTGTGAGGCACAGGCTCAAGGGGGTTGGCTCATAGACTGGACAGTTGTTCGTTCTTTATTTATTATTATTTTTGTTTCGAAGAAAAGCGACAGCCTCGAGGCATCATCATTGAGCTGACCGCCCCCCAGGTAATTCACATTCATTTCTTTTCTTTCACCTACCGTCTTCACCCGAGTAGAACGCCCGGTCATTTTAGCTGTATTTGGTGCAACTTTCAGTCTAGATACAGTGATAATGAACAGGCGTTCTATTCGGGGGTGAAGACGGTAGTGCGGTCTGCATTTGAACTCAGGTCTGAATTTCCAACTGTGCATTGGTGTACCAACAGACTGAGCTAGTTCCCTTGGTGGGAATATTCCCTCCTTCCTGCCTGCAGGCAACCATCATACGAAGGGCACTGCACAAGTTTGCGCTACACCGATAGAAGGGGCATAGCATCCCATGCGATCAGTATGACCTTTGTGTTTTGTTTTTTTTTTCAGAGGCAGGAATGAGATAGTGCAGTGTGATCAGGGCCTAAGCTCAAGGAGATTCTACCAGGAGGATGCTTTCCAGCCTGCAGACACGCGTACAAATCCCACAGCAGGAGTTAAAATGCTATAGCGTCTGTGGCAATACAGGCCATAGTACCGCCATACCATCAGGATCTGGGTCTTTTTTTTTTTCTTCTTTCAAGGATCTCTGTTTTTAAGGCAGTCTACGAAACCAGATGATTTTTTACTGTTGGAAGACCTGTATGTACATCGAGCAAAGCATGGGTGTTGCTGTCGAGAAGCCGAGGGCCATGGCCGACTGCTGTCGAGATGATGTACTGCAGCTCGCCCGGGCAACGGCGGGTGTCGGCCCCGGTACTTTGTCGTAGACCATGGTTCGGTGCCCCGCTTACACTTGTCGTCTCCTCCTCTGGGTCTTGTAATTGCAGGATATCCTCACATGAGGTTATACCCAGTTGCCGTAGGAGTTCTGTGTCTGCACAGAAACTGGTCAAGTCAGCGTTATGGCTCAGATGTGGAGGGAAGTAGTAGAGAAGGCGGCGGATTAGGGAAGGAAGATCCTTTGTGGTTGTGAACAGCACCGCGTTTGGTCCGGCATCGAACGTGTACGCTGCCATCAGTCTTCCTTCAAACTTGTTCCACCTCTCGACCATGGCGATCAGCTTTCGCGAGGTGTCGTTCAAGTAGAAAATAGGAGGCGAGGTGTCGAGACAGGTGGCGTGGAATTGGTTGCTATCTGTTATAGTCAATCTCGCAAACTCTGCGAAGTCTCTTGCCAGAATGGCCTGCTCCATTGCCTTGATTCGCTGGGGTACGACTTCCTTCACTCGATGCTGCAGAAGAGGGCTTGTTCGAACAGTCTGCTGCATCCCTGACGTACTGCTGGTGTCCTTCTGCCTGTCACTCACGACTGCAATCAAGACTCGCAGATCTGGCCAATGAGGGTAATCTGCCAGCTGCACGGCAATGCTGTCCCTCCCGTCCTCCTCGCGACCCATCTCCCACTTGACAAACCCTCCATACAAGCTTCTACACGCGCTTCCGGAACCCATTCGAGCGATGGCAGAGAGCTCGCCAGGGAATGTCTCCTGCACACCCATAAGCTTCGCCAAGGCGTAAACCAGGCAGGCAAAGCCTGCAGCAGACGATGCGAGCCCAGCTGCTGTCGGAAAGTTATTTACAGACGCAATGTGCACATGCAGACCCTGCCAGTCAGCTCGGGTGATCACCTTGCCGGTTTTCTCGTTGACCACATCTTGCGCCCTCGCTCGAATCTCGCGCAGGCAGTTCTGATATCGAACCCCTTCCACACTCACTTCTTTACCGTTGAGCCAAAGTCGGTCACGCTCATACGATTCGCTGACAGCGACTGTCGTTGTTGCAGCAAGGTCTTCCGGATTCAAGGTCACACTCAGCGAAGAATTCAGCGGCAGAATCAGTTCATCGTTGCGCTTCCCCCAGTACTTAATGACTGCAATGTTTGTTGGTGTGCAAGCCGTCACCATGGGCACAGCCTGACATGAATAGCTGACATGTTTGTCAGAATGTCCATCCTCCACACCCACTCTCTCAATCTCCCCTGGCGGCATATCTGCTTACAGCTACAGCGATCGCTTTCTGCAGTTACCGAAGGCTCAAACAACTTGTAGCTCAAGATTGTAATTGCATCTGTCATCGTCGCCACAACCATCACCACCGTCATCATCATCACTAACAATCCACCATCACGCGCCATCATCAACAAACACCACCCTATCAACACTTGAGCTCAAGATTCAGCACATTGCTGCCATCATCATCATCATCAGCAGCAGCAGCAGCAGCAGCAGCAGCAGCATCAGCATCAGCATCAGCATCAGCATTAGCATCAGCATCAGCATCTGCATCAGCATCAGCATCAGCATCAGCATCAGCATCAGCATCAGCATCAGCATCAGCATCCACATCTGCATATGCATATGCATCAGTGTCATCATCATTATTCGGAGCAGCAGCACCAACATCGACATCGACATGACAACTATGATTGTTATCATCATCAGCAATACACTTACAACTTCGACCCACCGGCTCATCACTAGCAGCATTCTCAGGAGCAGAGCATTACCATCGTCATCGGTGACTTGACCATCAAACGCCATCAGCAGCATACGTAGTCAGTATTTCAAGTTTAATGCGCGGACGATGTTTTGGCATATCGATCGACAGTTTTGCGCGTGTCATAGCTGAATGAACATCTTCGTTTAAACCATCAGTACGTCCAAGCCTCTTTTTTTCCACTGCTGATTTCTACCTCACGCCAAGTTTTGTCGAACCGAGGCAGGAACATTATTCCGGCTGGCGCCCCCATCCTTTTCCATTTGGTAGGTTGAGCCCAGACAGATGACCGCGTTGATAGCCGCGTTGGAACAAAATAGCTGGGAAATGTATTTGTGGTTTGAGAACAACTCAGGGAAAAAAAAAACAAAAGCAAAAGAAAGGGCAGATGCCCCTAAGATTATTGAATCCGGCAGATTTGAACAGGTGATCTTTTTATCAACAGGATCAGAGACATGGTTAATTATTCACTCTCCATGCAGGTAAAATGTTTTAGCATATTGACCGGCAGTTTTAATGTCTCTCTCTCTCTCTCTCTCTCTCTCTCTCTCTCTCTCTCTCTCTCTCTCTCTCTCTCTCTCTCTCTCTCTCTCTCTC